GCCTGGCTTCGGAGATCCGACACGGTTGCCGAGCCGTGCCCATGTGTTTTGTCGCGCTTGGTTGCGAGGGTGCGAAGAAGTTTCAGGAAGGGAAAAACATACAGACACAATTAATCGTCGATCCCAGGAAGTCATGGGAAAATATGGGAAGGGGGGAAGACGAAAATCCAGAAAACATTAGAAACTACGGGGAATATGGGTGCTTGTGAGTATTTATGTGTGTGTGTCCCTGGTCCCCTTCAAAATTGTCAAGCCGTGCCCTCCCCGCATGCCGTGACGAACCGTGCTTGGCGTCGACGGTGCTCGAGGATCGCCGCGCCGTGAACGTGCCCGCGTGCCGACTCTTGCCCACGGCCTCGAGCATGACAGCGCGCTGCCGTGCCACGCCCGCGTGCCGTGCATTGCCCGCGTGCCGTGCCCGTGCCGTGCACGATGTCCAGAGGAGGAAAAAGTACCCATGGCTCTACCCTTCGCCCGTGTCCCCCTTTAGTCGGCCTCCTCGGAATCCCTCGTTGCATCCGCTGGGTTCGCCTCGAAATCCTGGTCAGAAGGCCCCCAAGGAGAGGTCCAAGGAGTAGCGGTATCGGTACCTCTTGGCTTACCCAGATGGTAGCGCTCTCGTGCAGAACCCGCCTCCTCGTCTTACCACACGCGCGGCGCACCCGCGCTGCTCTCTATCTACATGCGCCCCGTGTTTTTTTTGGGGGGCAGCGCATGAGAAGCCGCCCCGTGGCCCAGTGCGGGTAATGTCTTTATCCACATCCAGTGCGTTTTGGAGTTTCGGACTCTCTTCCCAAGAAACATGAGGCGCACTGGATATGGATTATAATCTGCCTCCAAAAGGCTCAATGTTTATCCATATCCAGTGACGCCTCGGCCTTGCGGCGCCCCTTCCAAGAAAGTCCAAAACGCACTGGATATGGATGTAAACAATGCCCGCACCCAGGGGGGCAGAGGAGAGCAGCAGCGGGCGGCGAGGAGAAGAGGGCGCCAGCAGCAGCGAGCAACGCAGGCGCGGCCCGGCCCCCGCCTCTGCCCGCCCCCGGCTCTGCGGGGCGGGCGCCCTCTGCCCTGGCGGCCGGACGCCCTCCGCGGCCCTCCGCGGCGACTTCGCCGCGCCGGGCCGCGCGGCCTCAGCGGCGGCCCGCTGGCCAGTGCAGCACGCGCCCGCGCGCGATGGCGTCGGCCGAGTCGCGTTCCACGAGCGCTTCCGCGGCGGGCAGATATCGGGGGCGGAAAAAAGAGGGGGGTGATGACTGGGGGTGTGTGGATCTCGTGGCGGGGCCCATGATTTTTCCTCGGATTGCATGGCGCCTCTTCTTGTTTCATGACGTCCCTGGCCCCCCCGCTGGGCCGCGCACGTGCCGCCGGTCATGATTTGCACCCCCCTCTTGGACACCCCCCTCTTGGCCGCTCCCGAAGATACGCTCCCGCACCGCCCGGAAGCTGAGGCCCCACATGGAAGCACGCAGCAGCGGCGCGAGCTCCCGTGGAGCGGCCCCGCTGCCGTCGCCCAAGCGGGCGCGGAGCGCCCCGAGCACTTCTTCGCGGGCGAGCGCGAGGGCGCGGTCTTCCTCGGAGGCGCCGCCTTCGCGGTGCGCGCCGCAGGCCGCCCAACGGAGCGTTCGCCGCGGTGCCGGCCAGGCGCGCGCCCGCTGCGGCCGCGCCACCAGCCGCAGGCGTGCCGGGATCGCGGGCCGCCTCCGCAGGGGACGCGTTCGCCGTTCTCGTGCCGCCGCCGCCGCGCGCCGCCTCCTGGGAAGCGTTCGCAGGCGGCGCACCGTGCGCAGCAGGTGGGGTTGCCACCCGCTCCCGGCGCGAGCGCCAGCCTCCGTTTCCTCCGAAGCGCTCACCGCGGCGCTGGCCGCCGTGGCGTTGCGGTCGGCGCGGGCCTTGCTGCCCGCTCTGCCAGCGCCGCCCTCGCGGGGCCAGGTGCGCGACCGCGGCGGCTGCGCTGGCAGTCGCCAGGCCGCCCGCGCGCCGGAGTCGCGGGTCGCCTCCGCCGGGGAGGCGTTCGCCGCGCCCGCGCCGGCAACCGGCGCGGTCGTTGGCTGCGCCGTTCCGCCGCCGCCGCGAGCCGCCTCCAGGCAAGCGCTCGCCATCGCCACGCGGTGCGCAGCTGGCGACCCCTGGCCGCCGGCTTCGGGCAGCCGTGGCTCGCCCTCGCTGCCCGCGAGGCCGCTGTCTCCGAGGTCCGCCCAGGACGTCTCGGCACTGGCCCGAAGCCCGCGCGCGCCTGGGAGGACCTGCTCGTCATCGGTTTTCTGATGTCCCCTTGGGGGTTCGCGCTCGGCCCTTGGGGATTTCAGGTTTCGCTGAGGTTGGGTGGCACTGGCGGGGGTGGCTGAGCGGGCTGATCGAGGGGTGGTGAGTCCAAAGGGCCCCAGCCGCCCCCGTCGATAGGCCTTCGGGGCCTACCGATGGCTAGCCTGTGGTGGAGCGGCGGAAAGGTGGAGAGCAGGTCGGAGTCAGAAACACACACATACACACCGATACATATATATATATATATACATACATACGTGGTCACATATACGTACATGCATATAAACACAGTGTGTTGGTCGAAGGCCCGCGTACCTAATTGTGTATGTGTGTACGCAGATGACTATATACATACACATTTGTATTATCCCAGTGCGACCCTACCTAGAAGTTGGAGCCCCTAGGAATGCAGCATGAGTTGCTATGCTATGCTATGATATGCTATGATGCGCTATGTTATGATATGCTATGATGTGCTATGATATGCTGCGCTATGCTATGCTATGCCATGATGTGCTAAACTATGATATGTCATGTTATGCCATGCTGCGCTATGATATGCTATGCTAAGCTGCTATGCTATGATATGCTAAGCTGCTATGCTAAGCTGCTATGCTATGCTAAGCTGCTATGTGCCATGCTCTGCTATGATATGTTATGATGCGCTGTGCTATGATGTGCTGTGCTGTGCTGCGCTACGCTATGTTGTGCTATGCTATACTGCGCTATGTTATGCATATGCTGGGCTGTGTCATGATATGCTATGCTGCGCTATGCTATGCTATGTGGTGCTATGTGGTGCTCTGCTATGCTAAAGCTCAGCGAAGCTAAGATGAAGGTACGCTAAGCTAAGATAAACTGAAGATGAAACTAAGCTAAGGTAAGATGAAATAAGCTAAGCTAAGATGAGATGACAAAGGCGAAGCTAAGGTAACGTCACTGGGTGGATGCCGAGGGAGCCGCCCGGGGCGTGCCCCACTGCCCGGCCCTTTAAGTTACCGAGTAAGAACCCTTCTAGGCAGAGCCTAGGTAGGAAATAAACATACATATGTATGTATATATGCATACATACACCTACGTATACACATGCATGTCATACACATACCTATGCATGTACACATGCATACACATATATTCATAGATTATAGATAGATGTAAAGCTAGACTCATTTATTCACATGTACACATGCATGCACATATACACATACACATATACACATACATATACACACATATGAAAGAGCGTGTTCTACCGCTGCTGGCGGAAAACCGGGGGGGGCACTCCCCCTCCGGAAAACCGGGGGGGGTCACTACCGGTTCGAACCCCCCCCCCCCCAGCTCATCATGAAAAGGGGGGGGGTCACTACCGGTTCGAACCCCCCCCCCCTCGAAAACCGAGTGGGGGTGCGGACAGAGGTGGGGACGGTGTTGTTGGGACAGTGGTGAGGGGACAGCGGGACAGTGGTGGGGACAGTGGGACAGTGGGACAGTAGAGGGCCGGTAGTGGTGGGGACAGTGGTGGGGACAATTGTGGGAACAGGGGGGACAGTGGACAGTGGTGGGGACGGTGGTGGTGGGGACAGTGGTGTGGGCACAGTGGGAATGAGGTGGAAACAGTGGGACAGTGGAGGGTACAATGGTGGTGGGGACAGTGGTGAAGGCGGTGGCGAGGACGGCGGTGGGACAATGGGACAGGGGTACAGTGGGGACAGTGGTGGGAACGGTGGGACAGCTCAGTGGGACAGCGGCGGAGTCAGTGGGACAGTGGGGACAGTGGGGATAGTCGGGCAGTGGTTGGGGCCGTGGAGACAGTGGGGAGAGTGGAACCGTGGTGGGAACAGTGGTGGGGACAGTGGGGACAGTGCGACAGTGGTGGGGGCACTGGTGGGGACACAGTGGGGACAGTGGTGGTGAGGACAGTGGTGCTGGGAACAACAGTGGAGGATGTGATGCGGACGGTGGTAGGGACCGGGAGTCGTTTGCTGGCGGTGAGTGGGGGGGTGGGGAGGGGTTCGAACCGGTAGTGATCCCCCTCCGGTTTTCGAGGGGGGGGGGGGGTTCGAACCGGTAGTGACCCCCCCCGGTTTTCCGGATCCGGAGGGGGGGGGGGGGGAGGGGTTCGAACCGGTAGTGACCCCCCCGGTTTTCGGGGGGGGGGGGGGGGGGGGAGGAGGGGGTTTTGGGGGGGGGGGGTCCAGCAGGGGGGGGGGGGGGGATTTTCGGAGGGGGGGGGGGGGGGCGACCCCCGGGTTCCGGAGGAAAAGGTTGGCAATTTTCCACAGTAAAGCGGCGGTGGATCACGCTCTCTCACACATATAGACATACATACACACACTTGTATCATCTACAGTGAGGCCTCGTGCCGGGGTGGACGGGGAGGGGAACAGGCTTCCCAGATGGAAACTTATTATTAGAAGGCGTGGGCATTAACTATCTGTATACACACAAGGTTGGCACATTCTAAAAAGCAGACTCGTTCTAAGAAGTCTCCCCCCTTCCCACTGCCCTCGTCTGCGCGCCGCCAAATTTAGGTACGTGTGCACAGACCTATGAGTTCTACTTCAGAGCCATTGATAGACCCCGCGGTCGAAAACATCACCCACCCTGGGTCGAGAACGTATCGAGCTGGAATCGGTGATACATCGCCGATAGATCGGCGAGGTAGCAACGATTCCGGGTCGACATCCCCCCCTGAGCCCACCCCCCTATCGTTGCCCTTCAACTCCTGCGCACAGCCGGCCATCTCGCACGAGTCAGACAACGGCCGCGTGGAGGCGGGCGGCGGCGCGGACGCGCCCGTGTTGGCGCTGGCGTCATTGGAGGAACACCGCGTGTTTCGCGAGGCCAGGCTGCGGCGGGTGGAGACGACGGATTCGTTCTGGAAGACCACGCTCCTCGACGACTTGGATGAGAGCACGAGGATCCGCCGGCATGGTCCTCCCGTCGGGTTTGGGGCTGTTTCCGGTCTCCGGAGGGCGATGCTGGGCCCAGGGGCGGCGAAGAAACGATTCGTGTTGAAGGAACGGTCCCGAGGAAGCCGCTTTGTGACAAAACCATGGGAACACGAAGTCGGATGCCTGGATCGGAGCGCGAGAAGGTCGGGCGACGAGATCTGTACATGGCCACTGCACCTGGCCGGGCCAGTCCTGGGTCTGGGAGCGGTGTGTCTACCTCCCTGGCCAAGCCAGGAGGGCGTGTCTGCCGCTCCTGGTCCCAGGATGGGCCTGCCAGGGACATTGGACAAGTAAAGATCTGTCGCCCTCCAACAGGGGCGGGCCGAAGAGATTTCTTAGACGGCGAGGCCCCCTCGCAAAAGGGCCCAGGGGCCTCTAAGAATCGAGTAGGGGATCGACTACTGAATCGATTTACCCCAACATTGATTTCCACGTCGGATCTACAACAAATACGTAGCATATTCGTAGAGCGACGACCGTTTCAATTCCGCATGTCTCATGGATTCGACAAACCCTTTGGGGGGAATTCAATTCTTTAGCCGATCCCCTGCTCGGAAGGATGCTTAAGAAGTCACCTGCCTTCTTGGAGGCTCCCCCACCCTCTTTGAAGACCGCCCCTCTACCGCCGCCCCCGCGCGCTCGCCGTCACGAGGATCAGAGGAAGACTCCACGCCGACACCTCCCAGAATACCGCTCGCCGTGAACCAGATCACGACGGATGATTTTGGCAGTTCTTCTTCGGTCTCCCGAGGCCTTGACCGAGCCCCGTACCACGAGAAAGCGACTGGATGAAATATTCGGGTGTTGCTAGAAGTGCCCCTGGCCCAAGGTGCCCCCAGCTTTTCGCTCCATTTTGGAGCCCCTGGTGCCCTCTGGGCCTCGTGAGGGGTGCCCTGGAGGCAGTCTGGGCCACCCCGAGAATCCTAGGGTTACCTTGGGCCACGGGTACTTTTAGCAGCACCCGAATACTGGTCCCCTCGAAAGGGTCGAGATCTCTGGGGGTCCACGCTGCGAAAAAAAATCATCACGTCGGAGGTCTGAGCCGAGGAGCGCCCCTCGTGGACACGGCCTGGTCCCTGCCAAAATCTTGGTCGGCACGAGCCCCAGGAGAGGTCCAGGGTTAAGTCGGGCCTGTCCCTCTACAGGAAGAAGATTCAAACATAGTCAGGAGACAGTGTTTAGAATTATGGTTTGACTATGTTTACATATGTTTTGACTATTACAAACTTGTCCTCGACAATCGGCCTGTAGGGGGACAGGCCCGACCTAAGTCCAGGGAGTTAGCGAGGAACGCCAGCCACGACCGGGGGAGCAACCCCCCCAGTGGTCGCTGGTCGCCGAGGAAGTGCGTGACGCAGTCGAGAGACCTGTTCAGGCGCAAGTTGCGCGTGGGCGACATGCTGGTGGACAGGCACAGGTGCCAGGGCCTCATCCAGCACCCGAATTCACGGTGCTTCGAGCCGCCAAAATGTGGCCAGCGTAAATGGGTCGGAGGATCGCGCCGCATGGCATGTGTATCAGCGCATCAGCAGTGCATCGGCGACACCAGGATGGAAGACGTCGCATCGGCGAAGCGGCGCGATCTTCCGGCCCCACCTGTTCGGGCACCACTTGGGCGGCCTCAGGTACCGCCTCGCCTGGGACCTCACCGGTTTCCTTTTCATCATCTACGACTTGTTCGTTATTCCCCTCTACGTCTTCGACCTGCCAGACGAGGGCTGGGCGGAAGTGGCGTTGATGTGGGTGTCGGTGAGTTTCTGGACCGTCGACATTTTCGTCTCCTTCTGTACAGGTTACTACATCGATGGTTTCTTGGAGATGAGACCTTCGAGGATAGCAAGGCGATATCTGAGATCATGGTTCGGGCCGGATGTTGCCATCGTGCTCATGGATTGGGCGTTTGTCGTCGTTGGTTTGGGAGATGCTGCAGGTATTCTGCGCATACGTAGGTCACTGCGGGCTCTCCGCATCATTCGGGCGCTGAGGTTGGTCCGCCTCGCCAAAATCAGAGAAATCTTTACAAAGATTACCGACGGCATCAACTCTGAGTTTGTGTTCTAGTGGTCTGCGGCCCATCCCGCCACCCTGCTTGGGTCGTGGTCCAGAGGCCCCTTGTGGTCTCTTGGGGGCCGTTGGGAAGCTTACCTGGGGGCCCTTGGTGGACGTCTAGGAGGTGCATTGGGGATACGTGGGGGTATTTGGGGTCTTGCCACTTGACGCCATCTTGGATTGTCTTGAAGCCCTCTTGGGCTGCCATATATTCGCTAGATGCTACTTGCAGCCGGATTCGGCAGTTATGGTTTTTGTATGGCTTTCTTGGGCAGCCTTGGAGATATCTGAAGCCATTTTGATGCCACGTTGAGCCGATAAGCCTAAGTTTGAACAAGTTTGGCTGCATAGGGGCCTCTTTTGGAGTATCTTAGAGTCTCGCTTGGAGGCGCTGATGGGCCTCCTGGGTTCTGGTAGGGCTTCTTGGGACCTCCCGAGTCTTTTCTAAGCTTTTCCAGACGCCGACTACGGAGTTTTCTGGAGGCATCTTGGTGTAGTGTTTTGGCGGGCTCACTTTCCTGAGGTGGGCTCACGTGGCACACCCAGACGGCGCCCAACAAAGCCCAGGAATGCAAGTAAGTTGGGGTCGGGGTTCTCAAACATGTCACCATGGTTCCTTACAACCCTTTGAACACTAATGAGCTTTGATCCACTCCACTGAAGGCGCGGTGGCGGATTGATATTGCTGAGCATCCTCAAGCTAGTGGTTTCTGTCGTTATTCTGAACCATTACATCGCTTGCGTGTGGTACGCCCTCAGCGGCGTTCAGCTGAGCGACTCGAGGCAGTGCTCGTGGGTGGCCAAGCACGGCGTGGACGACGCCTCGAACACCTACAAGTACCTCACAAGCCTGCATGCTTCGGGCTCGGGCCGCACCCGCCGACCCTTTGCAGCCGCGCGCCACGCCCCAGGATTTCGGCACCGCTCTCGGGGAGGGAGGCGCTTCCCTTTGCGTTATGGCACCCCGCCAGGCAGGGCTCGTTTCGATTCTTCCGATTCGATTCGATTCGACTTCGATGGTTTCCGATATCGATTGGACTCGACTTGGGATTCCGATTTGGGATCCGACTTCTCACTGGAGGCACACTTGCCTGCCCATGTCCGCCGATTCGACTTTTCCCGACTTGGCTGCCGATTTCCGTCGATCCGATTCATTTCGATTGCCGATCCGACTTATCGATTCGATTCTGGGCTCTCCTGCCCCGCTCCAGGATATGCCCAGGGACAGCGAAGGAGCAGAGGGCCCGATGCGAGAGCCAGGGCCGCCCTTTGAGGCGAGTGGCCGCGAACATCGGACTGCCACATACGTCTGGCCCTATCGGGCTGGGGGGTGCTCGGGTGGCGGCGGGGTGGGGGGGGGGTCAGGGGCAGGCCGGCGCCCTTTGGGGGAGGCGGGTGTCGTGGGCCCCGGTATCCCGGACTTTTTTGGCGGTCTGATTGCCTGTGTAGCGGGAGGGCGAGAGCGGAAGTGCAGAGGCATGGTCCCACGAATGAGCGCGTGCTCTTCGCGCAAGAGGCGAATCTACGTTCAGAAGCCAAGGGCACCAAACACACATCCACACACAAACACACACACACACACACACACACTTACAGGTTGCTGCAGGTGCGTTGGCGGATGTCACTTCGACTTTCTCTGGTGCCCTTGGATGTGTGGCTGTCGTCTCGGATTGGATGAGGAGTGTCCAGGTGGTCTTTGGTGGCCCCCCGGGGTTGGCCGAGCCCATCCGAGGGAGGATTGGGATTTCTCTGGAGGATTGGGGGGCGCTCTCTGGGTGTCGGCCCTTGCGAGGGGCGACACGCCTTACTACTGCTGTCTGAGTGCGCGTCTGAGGCGCGCGTGGGATGTGCTGGAGGTCTGCAGAGGCCCTGATGCGCCCCATGAGGAGTTATTTGAGCGGTAGTGGCAACAGGTGGAAGTGTGCAACCCCATCGGAACAAGCGAAAAACAGCGACAAAGGCAAAGGCGTTGAAGATGTTGTGTTTTCCCCAACCCTCCTGTGTTGGGTTCTCCTTTTGCATAAAACACTGGAATCCACTCCTCCTCCCCCCTCCTCCCGCGCTGCTTCCTGGGTGGCTGCGAACTGCGCAACCGTCGCCACTTTCGTGGGCTCCTGGGAGGCACAGCCGAGTCCGGGAGTACACGGATGCAGACTACGTAGACCTTGCAGTTCTTTGGGTTGCGAATTTCGCAACCGACGCCACTTTCGTGGGCTCTTGGGAGGCACGGCGGAGTCTGGGAGTACACGGATGCAGACTAGACCTCGTAGTTTTTTGGGTGGCCGCGAGTTGTGCTATTATCGCCATTTTCGTGGGTTCCTGGGAGGCACGGCGGAGTCGGGGAAGTACACGGATGCAGACTAGACCTCGCAGCTCTTCGGGTGGCCGCGATTTGTGCAGCCGTCGTCCTTTTCGTGGGCTCTTGGGAGGCACGGCGGGGTCGGGGAAGTACACGGATGCAGACTAGACCTCGCAGTTCATTGAGTGGCCGCGGATTGTGCAACCTGTTCGTGGGCTCTCTGGAGGCACGGCGGGGTCGGGGCGTACACGGATGCAGACTAGACCTCGCAGTTTTGTTTGGCGGGGTGCAAATTGCGCAATTGTTTTTTTTCGTAGGCTCTTGGGAGGCACGGCGGGGTCTGGGAGTACACGGATGCAGACTAGACCTCGCAGCTCTTTGAGTGGTTGCGAGTTTCGCATCCGTCGCCACGTTCGTGGGTTTTTGGGAGTGGCGGCGAATTGCGCGACAGTCGCCATTTTCGTGGGCTCCTGGGAGGCACGGCGCGGTCGGGGAGTACACGGATGCAGATTAGACCTGGAAGTTCTTGGGGAGGTTGCGAATTGCGCAACCATCGCCATGTCCGCGGGCTCTTTGGAGGCACGGCGGGGTCGGGGCGTACACGGATGCAGAGTAGACCTCACAGTTCTTTAGTTGGCCGCGAGTTGCGCAACCGTCGCCATTGTCGTGGGCTCCTGGGAGGCACGGCGGGGTCGGGGAGTACACGGATGCAGACTAGACCTCGCAGCTCTTTGCGTGGCCGCAAACTGCGCAACCGTCGCCATGTTCGTGGGCTCTTGGGAGGCACGGCGGGGTCGGGGAGTACACGGATGCAGACTAGACCTCGCAGCTCTTTGGGTGCCCGCCACGTCGCGATGCGAGCCCGCCGTATTGGAACCCGATGTCATGCCGTGCTGATCTGTGTGCTTCGGCGGGGCCGCTGCCTCCGTCGGCGTTGAGCAACCCGCCCAGGTAGGTCACGTTGACCGTTCTGCGGGATTTGGCCACGCGCACAGGTAGGGGAACGAATAATGACATAAACATACAAATTCCGTGGTCCGCGCGGATTTCTCAGATCCGCGCTGGACCCCCCTCCCCAGCGCGCAGAGCGCGCCAGGGACGGCGCCGGAGGCGCCGCCAGGGGGCCCCTTGATTGAAAATCGTCAGGGGGCCCCGTCAGAACGGTCATCACGATTGAAAACGAGAAGAGCGATAATGGGTCGCCTTGTGACATGCCGAATGCTTTCGGCCAGGCGTCGTTGCTTTCAAATTTCAGCTGGGACGCCCATCTTACCCGACACACGGTTCCGTTTGAGTTTGCGTAGTGCCGCGCATTTTTGACAGCTAGAGGATGCTCCAACGGTTCTGGGGCGTCCACGACAGCGCTTGGCCGCACGGCCTATTGCTCTGTAGTAGGCGTTTCGCGCAACCCCACCAGCCCATCTAGAAACGATGCCCCGACGAGTTGCCCTGATCAGGGATGCGGAGGAGCATGCAGTGGAAGATGGGGCTGGGTGAGACTCCATTCCTCAAGAGGGGATGGACGAGGAATCGGATGAGGAGGAGGAGGAGGAGGAGCAGGGAGAGTGGGGACGGGGATGAGGGGGGAGGGAGGAGCAGGAATAGGCGGAAAAAGAGGAGGAGGAGCAGGGCGAGCAGAATGGCCAGAGGCATCTTGGATGCCTGTCGGTGTCTCTTCGGATGTCTTTCGAGAATTTCTTGGAGCCCTTTGGGGGCGTCTCGGGGGGCTCTTGGCGGCCCCGGGAACATCTTGGTGCGTTTTGGGTGCCTTGGGGGAGCCTTTTGGGTCTATTCTTGGGAGCCTTTGGGGGATCGCTTGGGGGCCTCCTGGGGCCTCCTGGGCGCCTCTTGGGCACTCCTGGGGCACTCTTGGAGGCAATTTTGGGGCCATCTGGGAGAAACTCGATCAGAGAGGGGGGGGATATTCAATTTGGCCCCCCTCCCAGGAGGCCAAAATCGAGCCAGAGCCGAGGCAGAATCAGTGGTGTTGGCCTTCTCTCCGAGGCCATCTTGGACGCTGCAACGCCTCGAGACCCCCCCTTGGTCCAGGGTGGGCAGAGGGAGGGGTCAAGGCACCCTCCCCGCTCGCACGCCGTCTCGCTCACTCCCTCCCGCCCTCCCCACACAGAAGTAGCACCCGAGCCGCAGCGTGTCCAGCGGTAGTCGTTGGATAGACAGTTAGTGGGAACAAACCCCATGTGCGCAACGCGGGGACGAGGTGCGCCACGCATGCCTGGCGCGCCACGCGCGCCAGGTGCGCCAGGCACCCATGTGGCCCAAGCGTGCCGGGACGCATGGTGCGCCAGATGCGCCACGTGATCCACGTGCGCCGCATGCTCCAGTCGAACGTTCGGGGCACGTGCAGAGCGTGCCAGGTGCGCCTGCGCGCGTAGCAGCACACATAGGGAAACGCGTTGGCCCCCACCACCCGTGCCGAAAACCAGTGCGCAATTACGGCGGGGTGGCCATACGTATTAGCGTCTGGGTGGCCTGCGCATAGCAGGCAATATGCCAGCGCTCCTGCCGTCCCAGTCGAAAACCAATGCACCGTGATGGCGGGGTGCCCGCGCATGATCCAGATTTTGCTTCAAAGTAATGTTGTATGGTTTTTGTCAGGGGTGCTAGCCCTGCGCTCAGCAAGATGTATGCGGGCATCCCCGCCGTCCCTGTCGCAAAAACAATTCACAGTGCGCGCGCCCACTCCCCCCAATCATGACCCAAGATTTTGCCCCAATGTGAACTTCACATTGGTTATGTTGGGCGGTGGGGGGGGGCTCATTGGTCCTGGTTGGCTGCCAGTCGTTTGGATGAGAGGTGTTTATGCGTAGGGGACTGATAAGCCCCTCCCCGAAGGGGAAGAAGGGGGTTCGAAGAGGAAACGCTCTAAAGCACTCGCGCCCTAAACGGCTAGTGGGACTCCGCCAACGTTTGGGCCCTCTGGTTGTTGTCAATTTCGCGGCCGCGCAGACCCGACCAGAGGAAAACTAGACCCGACCAGGGAAAAACTAGACCCGACCAAAGGACAAACTAAACCAGACCTGGGGAACACTAGACCCGACAAGAGGAAAACTAGACCCGACCAGGGAAAAACTAGACCCGACCAGGTCCCGTATTCACCCACGGGTGGCGCCGCCAGGTTTTTGGAGCTTGCGCACGTGGTCCCAGTCGTTACTCTCCAACGGCCCGTCGAGCCACGATGCTTTATGTATCCGTCTTGGTGGATGTCTTAGGTTCTTGCATTGCGCCGCTTCTCCAGCAGTGAATCCCCTGGTCGTCGTCTTGCCTCGCTCCGCTTTTCATCTATCGTTGCTTTCTTCGTTCCGCCTCGCGGGGGGGACAGCGCAAGCGTCGATCGTGGCATCTATCAGGCTGTCCAAAGACGGGTGCTGGCACGACGTGGGCATCTGGCCAGTGAAAGTACCAGTGAATAGATGCTGGTCCGCAATGCCGGTCAGCGCCGATTGGTCAGGCTTCGAGACCCCCACGTGGCTCAAATTTGGAATCCCGATGCGCATGCGGCACTTAGAACACGTTGCGAAATCGAATCGGAAATCGGACGCCATCTCTGTCAGCGAGGACGCCATATAAGTAGTGCCAGTGGCAGGCGAGCGCACGTTGACAGCGAAGATCGTCGACCATAGCGTAGGCGATCAATGGCAAGATGAATGATATATCAGGGGGGCTTCACAGCCACCCGAAAATGACGGAGCTGAGCCGCCCTGGGCCTCCAGGGGGGCGCAAAATGAGGGACCAAGGTGCCGCCCCCAGCAGTAACAAACATGTTTAACCAATGACTTTCCACTGCAGAATTTCCAGTGCATACCAGGGACGACTAACGGCAAGGCAACGCTGGCATTTGATGACGGGAGGTTGACTTCCGATGAGGAAGATGGCGACCTTGCACGGTGGATGTCGTTTTCGTTTCGCAGGGCGTCGAGGACGTGACGGAGGCGAAGGAGCAGGAGTTGCAGATTCACACGGATCAGTTGGGTATTGAAATGGTCGCCATCCAAGAGAGTCGCAAACACGAGCCCGTTCTTTATACGATCGAGCGTGGGTTTTTGGCTGTTCTCCAGATGTCGAGGATGCGGATGGAGTCTGACTCCGGACGCCCGGATTCCGAGGAGACGGCGGCTCGCACCGCACCGGATTCGTAGGAATGCATTTGGTTTCAGGATGGTGGGTGAGGGACCATAGTATTTGAAGTTGCTTGTCAGGGGCGCGAAGGTGCCGACTTTCGCAGTCTATGCCCCTGAAAGTGGTTAGCCTCACGATAATAGGCGAGAGTTTTACAACTATGTGGGTGCTTTTTGACACGTCCAGACATGGGCGCGCTCAAAGGACGGGATAACTTAACGCCAGGCTGCCCATGCGAATCGGAGGAGGGGACGGATCTTGGGCGATTGCATCTCGGGACTTTCGGTGACCCGCAGGCCCAACACGACCCATTGTCGAATCGAAGGTTGTCGGTGGAGTGATGTGAGACAGGGTGGTCGGCTGTCTCGAGATTTTCTTCGACCCTTCCACCAAGAACCAAATCACGTGTTACAACGCGAGGTCCCAGCTGGGTGACCCAGCTGTGCGGCAATAGCCCGAGTAAGCGATTAAGGAACACACCCCCCCCCCTCTCCGGTGAAAGGATAACGCACCCGGCACCCGGAAGCGTTATCCTGGCACCAGGAGGGGGTACACCAGCCTTTCCTTAGCTTTCCTCAGCTTTTCTCAGCTTTTTCTTAGCTTTCCTAACCTTTTCCTAAGGTTATTTCGGACAGATCAATGTTTGGTTGTGCGACGCGGAGGGTCTTCATTTCGTGGCAGACGTGTGGGACAGGAGGAGCGGTCTTGGGAGACCCAGACTTTGTCCCCCGTGGTGCAGCCCGCGTTGCGGAACAGTTCCAGAGATTTGCCCCGAGCCGTCATGCCCCCGTCGGAATATAATAGAGTTTAGAATGGAGGGAGTTGGGAGAGTCTTCAGCCGATCCTGCAAACATTCGGCGGCCGCCAACAGATTGCCTACGCCGTCCAGAATTCCAATCACAATTCTTGACAACACATTTCTCGGGTTCCTGATCGGGGGGAAACCAGGATCGTGGGGGGAATCGTGTTCGTCATGGCGCGCGTGATGCGATCGCCGATGAGCTGTCTTACTTCGTCGCTGGTCATGGGCGCCGCTTTCAACATCCCCTCCATGTCATCAACGCGCACGTCGGCATTACTAACGCTAGCTCCGATGCCCTCCAAGCGGTTAGTCATCTTTTTGGTCAAGGTTGCGGCCTTGATGCCGGGCGTCCCGGAGTCCTTCCGCAGGGCTTCCACGATGGACGTCGTTGGGGCCAATTGCTGCTTCAGCGGTTCCGCGACACCACGAGATGACGCAGCCACAGCGAAACAGGGTTTCATCCCCATGCCAGCCCTCTCGGGGAGGGTCGTGCCCAGGGATCCGATGCGGCATTCTTCGAGGATGGTGTCAACGCCGTCCATCTCTTGCAGCGGGTTCGTCAAGCGTCGGCGCAGAACCTCACGCTTATTTTCCAATGGGGCGCCTGGTGCTCGCGCGCGCTGTCAACCTGGAGGCGAGGCAAAGACGCCGCCAGGTGCAGGCGCGCGGGCGGCTTTATTTCATGCAAGTCTGAAGAGGCACGGGGAGTGTGAGAGAAACACAACGCCAGAGGCCCAGGAGACAACCGTACATGCCTTCGCGGGTCTTTCGTACTTGGGCCATCATGGGGCCTTACAGTGAACCCGCATAGTAAGGATGTGCAACCGTCCCAAGGGCACCCGTGCATCCTTGCCTCCTGGGAGGGTTTATCTTTGGCCATTTTCGTTGGCCGCGCCCCGCCCGAAAAGTTTCGAAATGGGCGTCCAAGGCCCTTGCATCCATATCGCGCATCCTTACTACGCGGGTCGACTGTATAAGGCCCGTGTTGGAGGCCTTTGCGGTGAGCCTTGGGGGCCTCGCGCGGCAATCTTGGACGCCATCGACCAAAGAAAAGCGGGGTCGTTGGTGTCAGCCCCCCTTTCTTCGAACCTGGGATCGTTTTGAGCTCTCCCGGGGCCTGTGGGAGGCTTTCATGGGCGATATCGAAGCCGGATCGACGCCTCGACGGCCCATCTGATGCGAAGCTGAGAGTTTTCGGGGGGCCCTTGGGAGGTTCAGGAACCAGTTGGAGCCGACTTGGGGTGATCTCGTGAGGGCCTTTTTTTCGAGGCTTGCGTATGTATAATAACTAGTTGGTCTAATCACCTACGCCCAGAGGGCCAGTGGGATGTGTGGTCCAGTGCGGGAGGATTACGCACAGGGGGGGAAGAGTCTCACACGATTGGTCGCCCCTGAAGGGGTCGTCGGACTGGTCGATGACACAATTTATGCCAGCGTCGATGGAGGTGAATGGTTGCAATGAAGTGGAGCGGGCCTTTACCATCTTGGTCATCATGTTTGGGCTGGTGTCATTTTCTTTTTTCGTCAGCAGAATCACGGCCGTGATGACCCAGTTAGTTAACCTCAGCAAAGACCAAATCAAGGCGGAGGCAAATTTGCGGCAGTACCTCGTCGAGAACCGGGTTTCTGTGGATTTGGGCATGCGGATTCGAAAATATCCAGTTGCTTGCGGCAAGTCCCACAACCGCGCCAGTGCAACATTCGGCGTGGCGAGATTCCGATTACCGGCGAGAAGGACGCTACTTATGATATTGGTTCCTTTTAGGACGGGGAGAAAAGGAGCAAGGCGGATGAGAAGGACGAGGAGGAAGAGGAAGAGGGCGAGGAGCGTGATGAGGAGGAGAAGGAGGTTGAAAAAGGTTGTTACATGCGACACGCGTCGTCCCCAGAGGAAAAGGAGGAGGAGGAGGAGGAGGAGGAGGAGAAGAGAGGGAGGAGGAGGAGGAGGAGGAGGAGGAGGAGGAGGAGGAGGAGGAGGAGGAGGAGGAGGAAAGGAGGAGGATTAGGAAAACCGTCACATGTGAAGATTTTCGTCCCAAGGACAGGAATAAAGAGGAGACACATGCAGTTCGTAGCAAAGCGAATGACGAGGAGGAGGAGGAGGAGGAGGAGGAGGAGGAGGAGGAGGAGGATAGACAGAACATCGAGGGCCTGGTGGAGGAGCAAGGCACATGTGACGTCTTGCCGTCCCCAGGAGGAGGGGAGGTGGAGGGGAGGGGGGAGGGGCAAGCCAGGTGCGCGCGCGTCATATCTGACGTCCTACCCCTCCCCCCCATCCCTTACCATGGCGTAAGTATCCTCTCTATGCGCACAGTCGGATGTCGAGCAGGGCAGTGATTGCGGGAGGGTACGGGATGCTTGGCAGGGCACGGCATGGCATGGCGTAGAAGAGCACGGCGGAGCGTAGCATGCCATTGCTTGGCGTGGCACTGCGCAGTGAAGCATTACATCCCGAAGCATTGCTACGAAAAGCGTGGCATCGCACAGCGGCGCAGAACGCAACACCGCACAGCATGTCATGGCACGGTACCGTGTTCCTTGGAGGGTACGTGGATCGTCTTCGAGAGGTCTGGGCCGGTCTGGAGCCGTGGCTACAGGTCTAGCTGCTCGGGCCCCCCGAAAAGCTCCACGCAAGGCGGGGCTGATGGAGAGCACCCGCCGGTTCTGCTTCCAAATTCGCCTTCTCAAAGCAGAACAGGGGCTCCCGGTTGATACTTCCTGAAGGCGACGACGCCCAAAAGTGGGCTTTCGCGGCCCAAGAAATCAACGAATCGACACCGAATGCACAATCACTTCTGATTGATTTTCGGGTGCCATTTTTTAGATTTTGAGGCCTCATTGGACGGACCGGAAACGCTCGCGCTGCAGCGGACCGGATTTGGAACAACCAGAGGTTCAGAAATGGGGCCAGTGCTCAAGCGGGAGCAACATTTTAAAAAAAAAAAAAAAAAAAAAAAAAAAAAAAAAAAAAAAAAAAAAAAAAAAAAAAAAAAAAAAAACGGAAAGCCATTTCCCGGGAATTTTGTGCTAAAGCAACACTTCGCAGAGGGGGGCCATATATTTTCCGGACGTCATCAGGGGAAAGAGGAGAGTTGTATTCATAGTGTGTAATTGTGAAGAGGAGGAGACGAAGGACTTTCTCGTTCTTAGCCGAAAGAGATAGAGAGAGAGAGAGAGAAAGACGTAAAATGTGGCGCGCTGTGAATTGTCAGGTCGGGCTTCTTTCCCCGTTTTCGTCGTTGCCCTCCGTCATGTTATTCCTTCCCCTCGTTGAGTCTCACGGGGGCCCCTTGGGGGCTCTTCGGCCGTCTCGTGCCTTCGGAATCCATCTTGGGGACACCTTTGGCCCGTCTCAGGGGCCCTTGAGGGGCTCTGTAGCACGCCTCTTGGACCGTCTCGGGGCCGCCTTGGAGGTTTCTTAGGCGCTCTGGGGTCGTCCCGGGGTCCTCCTGGGCCGTCTTGCGGGCGTCTTGGAGGCATCGTGGGCTGCCGGAAGGCCTCGGGAGGGGCAGGCGATGCACGCGCGGGATGGTTCGAGGTAGCTGCGCAGGCGCGAGTGGTCTGTAGTTATCGAGGCGGCGCTTACGTCCGAGCCAGTGCTGCTTGATTTTTCTCTCGCTGACAAGCATCAGGGCTGTCCGTACTTTTAGGTGCTCTTACGGTGCAGACGGACCCAACACCCCAGGCTCGCGGGATGGCTGCACAGGCGAGTGAGCGAGGAGGCCGCCTCTGCGATCTCGACGGGAGCCCTACCACACGACAGCACATGGTATTCTCGGGGGCGGCCTAGAGGGGGGCCTAGGGGGGTGGATATCATGGCGTGGGCCATGATATCTCCCCAGATGTCATGGTGCCTCGACTTATTTCATTCTGTCCCTGGCGCCCCCCCCGGGCCGCTTACATGCCGCTGGCCATGATTTGCGCCCCCCCCCCTTTTGGACGTCCCCATCTCGGCCGCCCCCGATATTCTGCACGCCTCAAACTGCCAGGGCGCACAGTGGCGGACTTCCGAGACAATTACGAGGCCCGGCGGAAGCGGATCCACGAGCCCGACATCGGTTTCTTCAGCTCCTTGCCCGAGGTCCTGAAGCTTGAGCTCCGCCGCGAGATATACATGCCGGTCGTCACGCTGCACCCGCTGCTCGAGCAGTACGCCCGCACAGACGTCGCAGGAATCGAAGGAGAACAAATTGCATGAGCACACACATTTTCGGAGGTCCGCCCGGATTTTTTTATCGGCGCTAGACCCCTACTTGGCGCGCGGAGCGCGCCAGTGGCGGTGCCGTAGTCGTGCCAGGTGGGTCCATCGCCGGTCCAAGAAGTCCGCGTGGACCTCCAACATTTTATGTTTGCGCAGTCTTTTCGAAGGAATCTGGCTGGTGTGCCATCTCGCGATGTCGCAGCAGTCGTGGCTGCCGAGCCAGACCGTCTTCATGCGGGGGGAGCGCGCCTCCGAGATGCTGATTGTGCTGTCGGGCTCGCTCGAGTACACGTGCCGGCAAAGCGAGAACGTGAGGATGGACCAGTGGCTTTGTGAGGCTGTGCTGTGGAGCGAGAAGTGGCACTACTGCGGCGGTCTCGTTGCGAAGGGCATTTCCGAGATTTGCGGTCTCAGCTTGAATAATGAAATCTGTTTGGGCAGAAATTGTCGGAGGGCCGCGTGGATTTCTTGGATCGGCGGTGGACCCGCTTGGAGGCGTCTCCGGCGAGGGGGGTTCAGCGCCGATCCGACAGATTTGCGCGGCCCTCTGAAAGTTAATGGTCATGCCGATGTTTGTTATTCTACCAGCGGCGCTAAGTTCCGCGCGGTAACCGGCGAGCGGCTGACGTCGTTCAAGTACCTCCGAGAGTACGCCAGCAGGTTCATGGCTGCTCTGAGGTTCGCGGAGAGGACGGGCCCGGGCGTCACCGACCTCTGCGAGGACGAGGGCGTCCTGAGCCAGATGGTGCATTCTGTTTTCGAGGACGTGCACTGGATTTCCCCCGATCCGGCCAAGTTCGAGAACACGCCCCCGCAGGTCGCGGCGGTCCCCCGTGGCGCTTCGCCTAGAGCGTCCCGGGCGTCCCGATGTGATAGGTATTAGAGTCAAAAACCCTAATAAGGACGCGCGACTTTGCTCAGGGTACCCTCGCGTCCTTGCTCTTCCTTGCTCTTGCGTCCTTGAGGTTTTCGTCGTCCGCCGCCCCAAAAATCCCAACTTCGGCTTCCAAGGGTCTTGCGTCCTTACCGCGCTTCCTTATTAGGGTTTTTGACTGTAGGTGTAAGTCGGGCACGTCCCTCTACAGGAGGACTGCTCAAAAGCAGTCAAAAAACTGTACGGGCCGAGTTTTCTGTAATGTTCTGACTGTTTTGGAGCAGTTTGCTTGCAGAGGATGTTTCGTTTTTCTTGCAGGAGGACATGCCCGACCAAATACTGGGTACACCCTAGGCGATGCTTAAGAAAACTTACGTTTTCGGCCAGAGTCTCGATTCTTCTTAATGTTTCAATGCAAATCCTAAGATCTCAAAAGAAATCCGGGGTTTTATTCACATTCTGAGACTATGAATTTCTCAACCCATGATTTCCGAAGCATCTCGCAGGGTGTATGGCTCGAAGACCGAGACCCTTCGCTGGAGGGTCCCGTGGTGCTCGGCGTGTCTTCCGGGTGGCGCGGGGGGGGGGCCGTGCCTCAGCACGCGGGCCGCGGACGACTGCCGCACCGTGCGCAGCGATCGGCAAGTCTTGCCTGGGGCCACTCCTCCTCCAGCTCGTCCTTGCCCTCGTCCTCGTCCTCGACTTTCTCCTGCTCCTCCTCCTCCTCCTCCTGCTGGGCCTCCTTCCTCCTCCTCCTTGCCTGTGGCCGAAGTGGACAAGAAGCACATCAGAGGCAGAAGTGGTCGGAGATCTGCGCTGATTTGTTGGATCGGCGCCGAACCCCCCTCTGGCGCGCAGAGAGTGCCAGGGCGCTGCGCCGGAAGCTTCGCCAGGGGGGCAGCGCCGATGCGAGAAATCAGCGCGGACCTCCGAACGTGTGTGCTCATCTGGCGTTTCCATGTTGCTGTGAAGGTCGCGCCCATCACGCGCAGAGCGAACAACGACCTCTGCATTCAAACGTCGGGCGAGCACCGCACCCAGGCCAGGTCGGGCGAAACGGGGGTTTGGGAAAGAAGGGGTACGAAATCGGTTGCACGCAGTTGGTTTCGTCATCCTCACATCTTCCTTTCTCCTTCTCATAACCGCACCCCCTGTTCGTATAGTCGCTTACTCTGCCACGAGACCGGTCGATGGCCGCCAAATCCAGGACCTACCATCTTATTTGCCAGAAAACAATGCAAAGTTTCATGTTGGCTTTCAACATGGATATTATGTCGCTCCTCTCCTCTCCATCTTCCCAGAGCGGTTTGGCCTGTTCCGTTCTCACCGCCCACCAGACAACCCCAACCCAGGCCGAAGGCCTCAAGTTGCCCTCCATTTCCAGGGGGTGGGGTCGGGGAACATGGAATTATCCCAGTGCGACCCTACCTAGGAGTTGGAGCCTCTGGGAAGCAACATTAGTAGGAGCGGTAAACGCCCTCCTCCTCCTTTCCCTTATCGTCGTAGGTGTAGCAGTAGCGGTACTAGTAGTAGTAGTAGTAGTAGTAGTAGTAGTAGTAGTAGTAGTAGTAGTAGTAGTAGTAGTAGTAGTAGTAGTAGTAGTAGTAGTAGTAGTAGTAGTAGTAGTAGTAGTAGTAGTAGTAGTAGTAGTAGTAGTAGTAGTAGTAGTAGTAGTAGTAGTAGTAGTAGTAGTAGTAGTAGTAGTAGTAGTAGTAGTAGTAGTAGTAGTAGTAGTAGTAGTAGTAGTAGTAGTAGTAGTAGTAGTAGTAGTAGTAGTAGTAGTAGTAGTAGTAGTAGTAGTAGTAGTAGTAGTAGTAGTAGTAGTAGTAGTAGTAGCAGTAGCAGTAGCAGTAGCAGTAGCAGTAGCAGTAGCAGTAGCAGTAGCAGTAGCAGTAGCAGTAGCAGTAGCAGTAGCAGTAGCAGTAGCAGTAGTAGTAGTAGTAGTAGTAGTAGTAGTAGTAGTAGTAGTAGTAGTAGTAGTAGTAGGCTATGCTATGCTATGCTATGCTATGCTATGCTATACTATGCTATGCTATTATTTTGCTTTGCCTTCGCTTTTGCCTTCACTTTTGCCTCTGCTTTTGCTATTGCTTGGCACCCAGGGAGCGCAACTGGGGGAACCGCGCATTTGCTTTTACCTTTGCTGTTGCTTTTGCTTGGCTCCCAGGGGACTGGGGGAACCGCCCGGGGCGGTTTGCACTGCCCGGCCCCTTTAAGCCAAGCGAGTAGGAACCCTTCTAGGCAGAGCTTGGGTAAGAAAAAAATCAAATGGAACCCGTACCCCCCCCCCCAACCGAAATTCGGGTCAAACTCGGGTCTTCGGGTTGGGTTGGGGTGGTCTGGTAGGTAGTCATGTTCTGCCTCACTTCCCCCTCCTATTTCTCCCCAGGTCGGGTCGGGCGAAGGGGGGGATCGGGAAAGGGGGGCGGGTACAAAAGTTGCTGCACGCAGCTGGTTTCGGCGCAGCCGCCGGTCGCCTTCCTTGATACATAGGCGCCTCCAGTGCTGGGAGGCGCAGTGTAAACCAGCTGCGTGAGGTGGCGGCGCCCAAAACGGGGTGGCGCGAGGGGGGTGCTTGATTTAGAAGGCAGAGGGGCTTCTTATAGTGCGAGGGCATTCTTAGCTGGCCCTGGAGATTCCTAGGAAGGCTCCGCAGAAGCTGGGCGGGACTTCTGAGAAACACCCTTGCCTTCCTAGAAGCTCCGCCAAGTGAGCTGATTCGCCAACCTTCCCAATGCCAATCCCCTCCCTTTCGACCGGCCCGGACTCCTTCGGTAGCAAGACATGGGAGTTTGCCGTATGCTCGCATTTCCATCTTCTGAGATCACTAGCGTCGACTATCGCGTGGTAGCCGACCGGATGGCGCCGTTTTAGCCTCGACTAGCGTCGACTGGCGACGATTGAGCGCCGATTGTTAGCGGCGATTCGCAAGAGCCAACAAGATGGTATGGGAGGCTCCCATAAGTTGCCACCGAAAATTCCAGGGAGCGGACCGGAGCACCCCAACCAGCATGTCCGAGCGGAGGGTGCCGCAGCGAGTGGTCGCCGACGAGGTCGAGAACGATACTTGCAGCGTGAGGAGCGCGTAGCTCTGGAGGACGGCCACGGGGGTGCGATGATGGCGGGGGGGCAGGGCTCATGTCGACTCTTGAGATTCGGTTCGGTTCGATTTCGATGGCTTCCGATTCCGGTTTCTCAAGGGAGGCCTACCAGCCTGCCAATTTCCGCCGATCCGAGTTCTCCGACTCGGCTGCCGATTTCCGCCGATCCGATCCGCTTCGATCGCCCATTCGATTTTATCGGTTCGATGCTGGGCTCTCCTGGGGGGATCGAGGATGGCAGGCAGGTGGCCGCAGGAGTGACCCAGAGGGCCCGAGGCTGCCACAGCGGGCCCGGAGGGCGCGCGAAGGGGTGCACGTTGCGCCCCCGAGCGGCGGCTGCGCCCCGCGCTGCACGGCCTGCGCAGCAGACCAGAGCCTGGGGGGTGGGGGCGGAGGATCAGGAGGGGAGAAAACACACAGACACAATGAATCGTCGGCTTCCAGGAAAAGATGGGAAGCGGGGGGGAAGACAGAAACTCCGAAAATATGGGAAGATATGGGGAGTGTTTTTATTTGTGTGTATTCATCTGTGTATCCCGGGGCCCCTTCAGAGGAGACCAACAGTCAGGTGAGTTTCGGAGGGCTTCGGATGCTTGCGAGACCCAGGGGTACGTCGGGCCTGTCCCTCTGCAGGAGGCATGTTCCCAAAGAGTTATACAAATAGTATTGGGATGATCTTTCAAAACATCTGCTTTGAATATTATTTGGCCCATCTTTGATTTGTCGTCCAAAGTCGGCCTGTAGGGAGACAGGCCCGACTCAAACCCAGGGTGGTGTTTCCTTCAGCTGTGCCTCGTCGGGGTTCCGGGGGATTGCCGTTCTCGCCCCGAAGGGGCCGCCAGAGGCCCGCAGTACGGCCCCGAGGCCGAAGGATCGGGGCGAGCAGATGATCGAAAGGGTGGCGGAACGAGTGGGGACGAAGGCCAACGGCAGGTCCTGTCCATTCCGCACAGAGTTCGCGGTCGGCGTCGCTGCCGACGTTGCCGATGCGGGGCAGAAGTCGCCTGCCCGACAGCGGCCGCGGTTGGTGCTGGACAACCGTTGCTGTCGGATACCCTCCCCAGTTTTCCTGCTCCCACTTCGGGCGTGCCAAAGCAAGATGTTGCGGTAACACATGTCTCAGTTGGCGTTGAAGTGTTGGCAGGTCCAACTCTATGTCGGCGGTACAGTGCAGGTCAGACCAGAGGTTGTTTTGCATGAGCGTGTGGCAGTTTATGTTGCAAGGTTTCATTGCATCGTTGCCCGTCGAGAACTCAGGACGCGTGGCAGCGAATATTTTCAGCTCTGCCTGCACTTTGTAGGATGTCGGTTCGGCGCCGAGCTGGAAACTGCTGGCGCCGCCGATCGTGCTCATGCTGTCCCAAGGGGACGCCGTCAGCCAGCCGAGTACCATTCCAGCACGCCTGCTGGAAGTTTCAGATGCATCCCGGCCCCCTGTACAGCGCTCGGTGTGGTAGGTGGCGACCTCCATTGCTGAGCATTCCACACGGGCGCGCTGCGCGCGACGCGCTATCGATCTCTGCGCGCTCTCCTTCTCTTCTCTCCGCCCATCCCAAGCCAGCACCTCGCCACAGCTCTATCATATATAGTCAAGCCCATGGCCGCCACCTGGAGAGCACTGGGTGTTCTCACTCGTGGTCATGTTTGGGCCGCTCTCCCCGGCACAGTCCCGCGTCCTGTGTGGAAAAGGGCTGCCGTGGGCAGCAGCCCCACCACGGCTGGCCTCTGCCGAGGGGGCTCACGCACCACCAGCTTCATTCGGACTCCTGTGGTCTGGAGGCTGACGGCGCTCAGCCTCTTGCCATGCCGTTGCGACCTGCCCCGTGAGACTCGCGTCCGCGAGGCGTTGCTGACGATCCGGCTTGCTCTCTCGCGCTCGGGGAGGCGCCCAAGGCCCGTGGCCGCGGGGGGCCGCATGCCGGCCGCAGGCCGCGGCCGGCCTGACCCTCCGCGCCGTCGCCCAAGGCGCCCGCTCTGTAGGCGGAGGTGCTCTTGGTGGACCCCAAACGTGGTGGTGAGAACACCCGGTGGTGAGTTTTGGGCGATTTGGGTAATGGTTTTCGAGCGTTGGCTGGCCCAGGAAACGCAAAACCTCGTGGCGACCGCGTGTCCCCAAACCCGGTGGCGACCCAGAATTATTTCTTTGGGGAATCGGGGTCACCACCGGGTGTCTCACCACCTGGTTTGGAGACCACCAAGGCTCGCCCGAGTGTCGCGTGCAACGAGAGCGCGCACCCGGGCCTCCCAAGGTGGGGTCCGAGTAGTTTCGGAGGTCGATGGAATTCCCACCTTCCTAGTCGGGGGAGGAGGAGGTACCCATGCCTCTCTACCCTTGCCTCGTCTCCCCCTCTTAAGGCCTCCTATGGGAGGCCCTCGTCGCCACCGCTGGATTCGCCTCGAAATCCTGGTCAGAACGCACCCCAGGAGAGGTCCGAGGAGCAGCGATATCGGTACATTTTGGGTCCCCCATCCTAGGCTTCCCAGCTTCGGGTTGACCCAAAAGGGGGTCCAGCGACAAGGGGGTGGTGCAGTAGATTTGGTGCAACAGATTTGTGAGGTTGCAACAGACGTGGGGCGTGCAATACATTCCGGGGCGCAAATGTATTGCTGGGTTTTCGCGTGCAATACACAATCCTCTGGCGCGACACATTTGCAATACAATTGCCCCAAGTCTATTGCACCACCCCCGTTCAGCTGGACCCCATTTTGGGTCGCAAGGACAGCTGGCGTCCGCCTATGCGGCCCGATATGGAGCCCGATCTCCTCGCATGGGGATATCGACCAAGAAAGAGCTGCGTAAACATAAGCGTGGATTCCTCGGATCGACGCTGGAGCCCCTTTGACGACGCCTCCGGTGCCGCCCCTGGCGCGCTCCGCGCGCCAAGGAGGGGTGTCCAGCGCCGATCCGAGAAATCCGCGCGGACCTGCGATTTATTATGGTGCCCAGGCGCCAACCCGCTGCACCCGCGTAGGTGCCTTCCGCGGGACCGTCTGTCTGTCTATGTCCTTGTTTGTTCCATTACGCATGGGGTCCGAGCAGACTCGGAGGTCGATGGGAACTCCACCCTGCCAGGTCGACTGGCGAACCGCTTCCTCTGTTTCGCTTCTCGAGGAGGCGTCGCCGGGGTCTGGTCCAGGGGCCGGTTCTACCCACGGATGTTCTGCCAAAGGCGTTTCTGTCCACCCCCAGTGGCCAGCAGGCGTCGTCGGAGGACCGCGCCACGTCGCCCGTGCATCGGCGCTGCGGCCGGCTTGCGGTGGATCGGAGCCCCGTTCTCTCCACGCTGGCGGCGCCGCTGCGCCGCCGACGTCGCGGATGCATCGCCGGTGCATCGGCGATGCTGCGCGAGGCACCGATCCCGCCGCCTTCGAACCCCACGTGGGCGGCCTCCGGTTCGGGAGGCACACCCGAACCGGAGGCGGACGCGTTCCGCGAGCGTCCATCTTGGACCCTTCGGGCCCGGCGGTTGCGGATACGCGCAGACCGAGATCTGACGACACCGGCTACGAACGATAACGGAGGGATATGGATATAGAGAATGAGAGAGAGAGAGAGAGAGAAAAAAAAAAAGAAGGAAGAAAGAGAAAGAGGCAGGAGAAAGAGAGAGAGAGAGGGAGAGAGCGACAGAGGGCGAGAGAGAGAGAGAAAGGGGGAGAGAAACAGAGAGAGAGAGAGAGAGAGAGCGAGAGCTTGACCATCGGTGGGGACGCGAAAATAAGTCGCGCCTCACGCGCCGCGGATATGGCCAGAGCTGCCCTACTCTTGGGGGGCTGCTGGTACTAACACACGCACGCATCGCTAAACAACACACACACACACCCTGGTGGCTCCCTCTTGAGAGGCCCGAGTGTGATGCCTCCAACATCAGTCCCCATGGGGCTCTGAGAAGAGACATCTGCTCTCCCAGCCACTCTACTCGCTAGGCCATGCCACTGTGGGCGCGAACGCGCCCATGACGGAAACCCCTGGGAGCTCCCCTTGCGGAGGCCCAAGTGCGATGCTCGCCATATCGTTGTGATCATGGGGCTCTGAATAGAGACACCTCTACCCTCCCAAACTGGCAGCTCGACTCGAGATGCCCAACCCGTTTGGGCGCGAACGGGCCCGTGCCACACCCCTTGGTGGATCCCCGTGAGGAGGCTCGAGTGCGATGCGATGCGTGCCGCATCGCGGTCATCGCATCATGGCGACGATGACTCAGCATAGGCACGTGCACCCAATGTTTCCCCAATCAGTGCTTGCGCCGAAGTGGTCTCAGCGGATCTTGAGGGATTTGGCGAGACAGTGGGCGGCCGACTTCGGTAGGCGGCCAGGCTCCCGCAGGTTCCAGCTCCGGGTTCCCGGTGGCTGGTCCCGGGCCGATTTCGGTGGGCGGCGGGATTCCAAGGTTTCCACGTTCCCGTGTTTCTGGTCGATCTTCTGATGGATCGGTCGCACCATCGATCTCATTACCAACCTCTCTATCGATCTCACAGTCGATCTCACAATCGATCTCACAATCGACCTCACTATAGATCGCACAAGTGATCTCACGATCGATCTCACAATCGATCTCACTATAGATTGCACGAGCGATCTCACGATCGATCTCACTATCGATCCCACTGAATCGACTTCACTACCTGTCTCACGATCGACCTTACTATCATCCTCATTCTTGATCCACGATCGATCTCACAACTCAGTATCCATATCACGAATAGTTTTACCATCCACTGATTCGGTTTGTTCTCTGGTGTGATTATACATGTGAGTATCTATATATATATATATATATATAATTGTATATATATATATATATATATGTATATATATACATATACATGTAAACTTGTAGAGTTACCAGGTCTTCCTGATCCGGACGACTGTTGGCTCAAATGTATTGTATTAGAGGTTGCTTTCCTTCTGGCGGCGCATGCAGGCGGCAGCCGGTTGGGTCCTGGGGATGTTGATCAAACGCTATTGGAACACCGGGCCGCAGGACCTC